ATTTCGAGTTCATGTTAAGTCTATTTTAACTTATTTTAAGTCTATTTTCAATCATGTTAAATTCATTTTAAGTCTAATTTAAATCATATTAAGTTTAATTCAACCTTTTTAAGTCTAATTTCATGTTAAATCTAATTAAATTAGATATAACATGATTTAAATTAGACTTAAAATGAATTAAATTATACTTAATATGAATTAAATTGGACTTAACATGAAATTAGACTTAAATTAGACTTAACATTAAATTAGACTTAACATTAATTTAGACTTAATATGAATTAAACTGGACTTAATATGAATTAGATTGAACTGAAATTAGACCTAACATGAAAATAGACCTAACACGAAATCTAAATAGACCTAACATGAAAAATAGAGGAGATGAGGGCATTCTGGGGGTTTTTACTTTTTATCCTCTCTCTATGCTTAGTTGACAGATAATAATTGCTAAAAGAAGGCTGCAATACAATATGTCATATTTTTTGAGACTGAACCACATGGGGGGAAAATGAATGGGCTGCAACACATGAAGATGTTGTTTTTGGGGCATTGACACAATTTTCCCTTCTTATTATATCATTTAGATTTTTATGATTATAGGTCATTAGTGGGATCCTTATCGTCACGTTTGTCACCAGCATAGTGTACTTTTCACAAATTTTTATTAACTCTTACTAATGTGTCAGTTATGTGACAGAAAATTGTGCAAGTACGAGTTCATCTTATCACATCAATAACTTATGGGTGACACTAGGGGCACACCCCTAACCACATCCCAAATCGCACACCCCCTCTCATATGCTACAGTACACTGGGCCCCACATGGGATTTTAAAATTTTAAAATCTCATGTGGGGCCCGGTGTACTGTAGCATATGAGAGAGGGGGTGTAGTTTGGGATGTGGTTAGGGGTGTACCCAATTTTAAAATCACATGTGGGGCCCGGTATACTGTAACAAATGAGAGAGGGGGTGTGGTTTGGGATGTGGTTGGGGGTGTGCCCCTATCATTTTCCATAACATATTAGCAAGATAACAGAGATTCTGTAAGAAGGGCAGACACAAATGATGAAGAGAACGTTGGACTATCACCATTTTCTTTCAAGGGATTTTTTTTGAAAAAGACATTTTTTGCTAAATAATTAGCAAAACTGACCGTTTTGCTAATTATTTAGCAAAAACGATATATTTTCAGCCAACAGGTCAAAAAGAGGTCGATTTTGAAAAACTGGTCATTCAAAATATACAGGACTACTAGTCACGTATGTTTAGACCATTAATTACCGACTAATAATCACGCCACAAAATCCAAGACCTCAACCCCAAAGTCCTCTCCCTCTTCTCTTGGCTCAACTCCTCCTCCCCTCCCCTTCCCCTCCGCCGACTAGGAAGCCCGCATCCTCTCCCCCTGCAACTGGACCCTCTGTCTCCCCCTTCAGTCCCTTCCCTCACCCTCTTTCTCCCCCTTTCCCTCTTCTGGCTCCTCCTCCCCTCCTTCTCCTCCCTCACTCTCTCAAGGCTGAAACCTCGGCCGGCTACATCCCTTCCGACCTCTCCTCCTGCCGTCACCTATCGATCCTCGACCTCAGCTCTAACTCCTTAACGGGCCCCCATACCCAGGTCACAAAACTCATCACCAAGAACACAATGCTTCTCCTGTCAAGTGTCGAAAATTCCCTGAAGCCGAAATTCGATTTTTTCATGGATGCTGGTTTCTCTTCCTCTGAATTTGCAAGCCTTGCTGCACTGACATAATTTTATTCACGTGAACTTGTGATTGAAGTTGGGGATGTTGGCAGGGGCCGTGTTGAAGAAGAGCCAGGCCTTTTGCATGGGGGGGGTGCGTTTTGAAAACTTGGTTGACAATGAAGGAGTCCCAACAGATGGGGAGGGAGGGGAGGTGGGACTGCGCGGTGAGCTAGGGGGAGGAGCGAAGGGGAAGAGGAGTTGAGCCAGGAGAAGAGGGAGAGGACTTCGGGGTTGGGGTCCTACTTAAGCAACAAAATCTACGGGACTAGTAGTCCCGTAGATTTTGTGGCGTGATTATTAGTCGGTAATTAATAGTCTAAACATACTGGACTAGTAGTCTCATATGTTACGAATGACCAGTTTTTTAAAACCGACCTCTTTTTGGCACGTTGGCCAAAAAAGAGGTCGTTTTTGCTTAACAATTAGCAAAACGGCCGGTTTTGCTAATTATTTAGCAAAAAAGGTCTTTTTCAAGAAAATCCCTTTCTTTCAAATATAACAAGACCTTGATATTTTTTGGGCAATGCATGAGAAACATCTACTGAAATTTTGACCTTGTTTTCCACTGTATGATTGAGTAATTATGTAGAAGTTATGTGAATCGACATTCTGTACTTCTTCTAATTGTGAATCGACATTCTATAATTGCGAATAGACTCTCTCCGTGAGTTTTTTTTTGACTATTTTAAGGGGGGTTAGTCACCTTGAACTTAAAATTGGAACTGGTATAATCTGTGGGATAATTTTTTAAGGTGTTAGTCACATAGAACTAAAACTAGAATAAAATTTTATAGTGTTAGTCAAGTAGAACTCTAACAAAATTAGAATTGGGATAATGGTACAAAATTATCCCATTTTTTTTATTTTTCTATACAAAAATAAGAGTTCTAGTCTCTCAAATTATTCCAAGTTTTAGCTTGGAACTAGGTGGTAAAAACTAGAACTTATATTTATTTTGTTTTTTTAATTTCTTTTATTTCTTTTTTTTCTTTACTTCTTTCCTATTATATCACCATCATTAAATCATCATTATAATAATAATTGTTAATATCTTATAGTCTAACCAAAAGTTATTTAATAGTAAAGAACATTCTTGTAAGCAATTATCAATCAATAATAGTAAGTTTAAAATACATAAATAGTACTTATTCTTCAAAATGCATAAATATATATATTTCATGATTATAAAAAATTATCCCACGTTATTTTATCAAGATATCCCGTTTCACAAAATTGTTCCTATTTATCCTACACAAAACTATCTGCATCCTCAAAAGTCTTTTTTTAACCTCTTTTAGGATTCAAAAAAATAAAAATACTTGGAGAGTTTATCACAACAATAGGGGTCTATCAGCCATTAACCTTTTTTAAAGAACTATAGAAAACTTTCACTATTTTCTCCAATAGTTATGAACTTATCTTTTAAGTTGTTAGTGTGTTCAACAGGTTAAATTACTAACAGTGGACCATGAGCAAATATTTTGCAAGATAGTAGTACGTATTAGTTTTTTTTGGGTAAATACTAATTATACTTAATCACAGCAAAACTTTTTAAATCTTAATGGCTGTGGTTAGAAAAGTCACCATTTTTATCAATGTGACAATAGAAAGATTTTAAAGGAAAAAAGATTTCAGTTTCTCCCCAATCTTAAAAAGGAATCAATTAAGCTCGTTAAGTTTATTAGAAAAAAAATTATATTATTTATTACTTTTTGTGGACATAATGCCACAATATCCTACGTTTGAATCTTACTAGTGACAAATTTTCACGAAGAACATTATGTTCTAATATAAACTCATAACTTTTAACTTTCACCATACTTTTATTCTGAAATTACCTGGGGGGGGAGTGAATAGGGTATTTGCTAATCTAATCCGATATTGATGCCAAATTAAAACTTATTAAAGAAATATCCTAACAAGTATGTTATGCAACAAATTATATGCAAGGATAAGCAAATGTAAACAATGTGACAATAGGCGATATAAACAATGAGACAAGAATAAGTGCGCCAATGTTAAACACAAACAATCAATATGATCACGGAGTTCGGTCACCCTCGACCTACATATCCGCTCCTCACCCTCGAGGAGAATCTTCACTGATCTAAAAAACAACTACACAATCAATTTTCTAGCTCACCGAAAACTTTTACAACTCTCACAATGTAATCATACAACACACCCTCTAAGTGTTGGCCTAGCCCGTGTCGCCTTCCTCAAGTGCTCGGAGTTACAACTCTCCCTAGGCTTTTCAACCGACACCACTCCTCTTGGAATCGACCACGTCTCTCCCAACCACTCCTCTCGGTGTCCTTGTGTATTACAATGTGATCTCTCGACAAATAAGCTCAAATACAAATTGTTTGCTCTCTAACAAGATGAGAACTAAGTTTAGGCTCACTCTCAAAGATACAACCCAAATTACTATGTGTGAAAATTCTTAAGCTCAAGGGGTGTGTGTGTAAACAACGAGTATAATGAAATCAAAATTAAACTCAAATCAATCTAGCATAAATATAAGAATTAAAACAATAGATAGCTATTTGTAAATGTAACTATTTATTTTATATTCATTTGATTTAACTTGAAAGCGATAAACCGAAAACGTGTATGTGTGTAATATTTGAGCTTTAAGCATAAACACATAAAGTATAAGATCTAAACTAGAAACAATATACCCAAGCTAAGAGATCTTCGATATGCTCGTCTTGGTTGCGGATGAAGCTTGAGCTTGTAATTGACTTGAAATGCAAAGCTTCATTCTGATATTCTTTCCATCCTCCAATGGATATGATCGTGTAGGCGCAAATCCATCCAACCTCCAACATCGATGTTTGTCTAGAATACCTAATGAGCAACCTCAAATACTAGACAAACTATGTTAGGGATTGTTTGTAAATCATCAAAACAAGATTAGATAATAGACTCATAAACATGAGACCTAATATATTTATGGTCCATTATTTATTACTTTTTTTGGGGGGGAAATAAAATTAGATGGATTCCCTCAGCTGTCAAGGATAAACCTAGTCCAGCAACCCTGTGACGATAATTCTGTGATATCACAAGTATAAGAGGGGAAAAAGAAGAAAACATACCCATAAAAAAATACCATTACAAAAAACTCCATGTATATACACGACATGAAACAGCGATCTTCTTCATTTGAACCTTCAACAAGAGCAAAAGTCAATATAATGCAGTCTCCATGAACATTCATGGATTTAAAGAACGGAGACAATTCAGCTATTGGAAGAACACGCATGCTCAATATTAAAAATCTCATACATATCATAAACTCGAATCCACTAAATCATACATCCGGTTCAATTCCAACATACAGCGATATCGTTATTAAGAAAAACAGAAGCAAAAGAAGAGCTGAAGACCAAGCTGTAGGTAAATCAAACAGTGTCTATGTAGTGAGAATGGGCGGCATGTAATCAGACTTGGTTCCGAGAACACGAGCCTTCGTATCAGGGAAGAACTCGGCTCCTGGGAGCTCAGTGACCGCTCCTTCGCTGGTTACACCAATAGGGTAAGTGAGAAGATGACCTGGGAGGTCTTGTTCGAGGGATTCTTGAGAGTAGAGATCCCAATACTTATCGGCTATCCTGTTCACCTTTTGCACACAATCCAAGGACTCCGGATGCAGGAAGACATTGTCGAGCATTCCGAGATGCTCGTACCATAGTGCCATTCGGAATCCGTGGATTTGGCCTCTTGCAGGCTGTCGGGTGGCTAGGTGGTAGGGTTGGAAAGCGCCCATGGCTATCTCAGAGTCTCGTGCTCCATCCATTGATCTCTGGTTGATGTTGGCTGATCCGATGATTATGTACTCATCATCAACTGTGATCAGAGAAGTTTGGGGTTTATAGTGAATATAGGAATAAGCCAGGAGTTAGATTTTAAAATAAAACTTGATTTAAAGAAAAAAAAAAAGAAAAGAAAAAAAAAAGAAGGGTTCAGCATCAGTAATTGCATCACTTCTCAGTGAGGGTGCTCTAGAACTACACCCAAAAGAAAGGGGAAAAAAAAAGAAAGGGATAAGAGAACAAGACGACCATCAATCAGATTTGTAAATATCCCTGTGCAGTTGCTGGATGATCATTGAGGGGTGAAGTCTGGTGGTTCGGTGAGCAAGTTAAAAAGAATTTCGATAAACTATTATTTCCTAGCCCCTAGGTCTCAGGGAAGGTGATGAGGGACAAAAGGGTCTTATTCAATCCTAGAAAACCGCGCTCAATTGCTGCACCAAAATTGACTTTGTGAACGCTTCAGGAGCGGGAGGGTGAGGGGGGGGCGGGGACGGGGCGGTGCGGCCGTTACGATTACAACTTTCTTGAAGATATGATTATCACAAAATAACAGCAAAAACGAGTAAATTTAGACTAAAAGCTAGTAAAAGCAACAAAAGAGGAGGAAAAAGTAGGAGCTACAATGAGCTAAGTTATTGAGGCTTCTTTCCGAGTTATTAAATGCACAGAACTCAGTCACAGTCAAAATATGGCCAATTTCAGTATGAAAAGGCTTGTGTTGAGAGTGAAAGACGATTCAGTAGCTAAGCTGAAACAACATACAACAACAAATCATTTATCCCAAATATTTAGGGTCAGCTAGAAAGGGCGCCCCAGTGTTGGCTCCCACCATTATGAACTTTGAGGAGGGTTAGATGTACATAACCTTAACCCCACATGCTGAAAGATTGTCTCCAAGATTTGAACACGCGACCTCCAAGTCATAAGGTGGCAACCTTAGTGTTGAGCCAACGCTGACCCTCTTAAGTTGAACCAATATGACTAACCAAAATATTGACTATCGAATAATAAATTAGAGATATACTAGCGCTACTAATTCTAAGCAACAGTGAGAGAGAGTTGATTACCTATCATCATCTTTGTATGAACATAAATCATAAACCTCCTGGCCTCCTGAGCTCTGATATAATTTGTATCTGGTTCTGGCTGCTGCTCTGGTGTGTATTCTCCCTCCCTTTTCACCTCACGATTCCCTAAGCAGAAGAAGGAAAGATAGTCTTTCGGGTTTGCCGTGATTCCCTTAGCTTGGAGTGCCTCTATGACATCAGTATACATCATCTCCATAGTCCTCCTCTGCCAATCTAAGATTGCCTGAACTGACCCACTTTCAGGAACACCTTCAGGCCACATCGGAACAACAACATAAACTGTAAAGCGTTCTCCAGCTTCAATCTTGCTAACAATCTTCATGGAGAGCTCCTTAGGGATCAAATGCAAAGCACCAATATCCTCAGTCTTGATGTCATCAGCCTTCCATCCAAAACAACTACCAAGGAAATACTGATTTTCAATGTAGATAAAATTCTTCGCTCTGCGTATGGCATGAATATAAGCATCCTGAATGCTCCGGTCAATGATATTATCTTTTCCACTAACTAGCCCTGCTCTCGCAGCGTCCTCGGGTGTCTCTGGAAAGCCAAAGGCAGCACCCCCATCAATGGACCTAAATAGCTGAACATTCCATGTTTCTCTGTCCTCAGGGAACATGACAGGCGAGGGTGGAATAATGATGTCAGAAATATCTCTGAGCTGCACAAGGAGATCCTTACCACCTTGCTTCCTCCATCTTTGCTCAAAATTATATAAAACATCCCAAGCAATTGGTCCTTCTAGACGGCAATGAATGTCATGCCAAGGTTCTCTTGGCCCACCTTTTGTAATAGAGCCATCAGCGAAGTTCGGCTGGTGGAAATCAGTATGGTGAGCAGTATCCAGCGTCCTGAACAAGGAGTGAAACTGTGTGTCGTATCTCCCATCACAGAGATCAAGACCACCAATAAAACTTACGATCCTCCTCTGTTGTGAACTCCTGGTGGGCATCTCATGGTCCACGACGACAATCTTCTGATGGTGAGTGAACATGGTAGAAATCTGCAGATCCTGAACAATGCTTCCTCCATTATCAGGATTCCGGGGGCACAGAACACAGTTCACATCAGTGCCCTGAAAGTAATTCACAGTTTCTTCATCATGGGTAGCCATGAGACCATCTTTCTTTAGTAACCCCACTGAGGTCCTATCATCCCAAACAAGCATAAGAACCCTTACACCTTCACTGGCTTTCTTCTTCAACAACTCACCAATAGTAACATCCCCGCCAGGTTTTTGCCTTTTTGAATCTCTTATCAGACTGATTTCGGTGTATACGGACCAACCAGTTATGTAAATTAAATGTTGTGCATTGCTAATTGCATCAAAGATGTCTTCCCAACATCTGTGGGGCTCATAGTACTTTCCATTGGCAAGAGGAATTTTAGGAATGAAATTGTCAGGGACGTGGGCATCTTGGTACAGTGATACTTTGCACCCCTGCCTCATTGAGAAAAATGTGTACGGAACTCCAGGATATTTTGCGCTGCGTACACCTCTTGACCAATTGCGATCCTTTGAAAGATCAAAATACTGGAGTTTCACATGAATTTTAGCTCCACTCTCTAAAGGGTTACAGTCATTATCACATATCTCAAGCCATCTATCTATTTCCTCACCGCTTAGGATCTCCCTGACAGGCAAGTAAGCCCTGCCAACTAGGGTGGCTCCAATAGCCTGGTCAAACTTCACAGTGAAGATGACATTGGCCGCCAAATGTGCACAGTAGATATGGAAATATTCATACCAACGAGGATTAACAGGTTCATCTCCAATCAACCTTGTCCTGCCAACTCTGGCCTTTTCTAGATCAATAGTGGCATAAAGTTTGGTAGACCCCTTGCCAAGACCAACCACATCCTCAACACCTTCAACAAGCTGTAAATAAATACAGCAATATTTGGGGAAATTAAATCATAGATTAGCAATTAAGTGAAAATATTAGTGTTTGTAAATTTAGATGAAAAGCTAAAACAAAATCCAGCTACATAGACTCAAATCCTTTACACAAAATGGTCTGAAGAAGAACACATAGTTTACCATAACAGTTGGAGAAAGATAGTCATGCTCAATATCATGAGAGAACATTTTTAGTACTATGCCATATAAACAAACAATTTAGAAAGAAGAAATTAGGAAATGACTATTATTGCATATTCGGTCAAAATTTGTCACTCTTCTCGCAAGAGCTCGTTCTCTCATGAGCCGCAACCAACCCTTTGAACCACTCATGGAGAGAACTTAGACCTCGGAAAGAGAGACATGGGTCTTAAATAGGCATAGAAACCAATTTAGTTTAAAAGTTTAAACTTTCATGAATTGATTTCAACTTTTGTGTTAAAACAATAACCCTTTCTAGTCCTTTCCAGTACCGGACAATAGACACACAGGAATAACCAACATAAACCTCATCTTTACCTCTTCTTTCTTTTGTGACAAAAGCTCCTAAAGCCTAAGCCCTACATTTTGACCTATCCATTTTCAGTCTAATTTCTACTTCCCAGACGATTAATTCCACATGAAGGGAATAAATACATAAGAAATTGTTATACATTGTTGATAAGAAACATTTCAGGTTATAAACTCCTCTAATAAACAGAAGTACAAGTTCCAGCCCAATGGGAAGCAAAGTAGTTAAAAAGCAGGATTCAAGACTTCCATTTATTATTAACAAGAATTGAGACTCAATATTGCAGATGAGAAGTCCATCAGTAGCGATCCAGAGGCTCCATGAACACAGATGCATCAACTGGCTGCCAAGACCTGGAGCCCAAATTTTAAAATCTATTTTGTTGGAGATCATCACGTTAGATGTCACCACAACACAGCACATTCAAGAATTTTGACCATGGGAAGAGCATGATAAGGAAACTCCTTTGAGAGACCAAAAGAAGAACAAAGCACAGACAAGGAGAATAAACCGATATTATGTCAAAAGTGAAGATTAAATTCAGAAGAAGATTAAGATCTTTCCATTAAAAGATGCATGTTCCTACCATCTTATTCTGGTCCTAGAGACAAGATGCCATGTGACAAGCACTACATGCAAGATTCTATGCAGTTCTGACTGCTTATTGTATTCCCAGTTAAGTACACATTATATAGTTTACTTGTATATTATATATACAAAACTCCACGACATGTTTTGAAAATACTTCATGGATGCTTTGGTCACCTCAGTTTTATCTTAATGAGCTGCTCACAGTATCTTATACTGGGTTTTCTTTTTACAGAATCTCTCTTGCCAGATGAATGTCATGTTCAGGCTTCAATCTGCGGTCATTTTGTTAATCTCTAAACAGAAATATTTGGAAAAATGAAAATTACGTCAATTATTTGTTAGTTTGAATATAAAATAAATTTAACATAACAAACCTTCAATAATAGCTTTAATGTTATATGTAGTTGCAGTAATCTTAATTTCATCTTTATGAAAACTGATGGATAATATTGTGATAATTTAAGTCAAGAACATTATCCAGCTTCCTGAAAAAGGCATTGTCTTTTAGCAAGAAAGGTGTTCTATTACTTAACTCTGTTTTGATCAATTTTTCTTAATGGATTTGTAGGCTAATATATCTTTGGGTAAAATAGCGTGTTGGCCTTCTTCAAAAACTAGTAAGGAAGAATTAATAAGGTACTGTCTGCCCTTCATCTGATCTAATACAGAGAACACTCACAAATTAGCCAAATAAAAAAAAATAGTCTTTTTAGATATCTACTATTGACGAGCGGCAGCCGAGA